TGGGTGAGGGGAGGAGGTGGCACAGAGATTGCACGGGGGCTAGAGAGAATTGCACGGGGGCTAGAGAGAATGCCAATAGATTTTCAGAGGGGTGTAGAGTGCAGCAAAGAACTTCATTTCTTGGCTCCAGTTAGTGTGAGGTGAAGTTGTGAATTACTGCTGGATATTAATATCCCCCAAAGGAGTCCTGGAAAATCTATTCTTACTGCCCATGCATACAGAAAGAAATGCATGGGCAAGAGTATCAGGAACAAGTTTCGGTCATTGTAAAAAAAATATATAAAATAAATAAAGCTTTTTTTAACAGCATCTAGAGACGCTGCACTCCGATATTTAAGTACTGTTTAATACTTCAATTTTTGGTGACCGTCAGCAGATAGTAGCCTAAGGGAGTTTAAAATATCTGCAGATGATTCTGACAATATGTATTGAGACTGCAGACTCTTCGATGTCAAACGGAATACTTTGTGTTATAAGCCTGTAGATTAAAAAAAAAGGTCCTTTCAGAACTACTCTGAAACAAACAGTGGTTAAGCTCTGCCTACTTTCTTTCCTTTGAACACACACACACACACACACACACACACACACACAGAGAACTGTACCTTTCTTAGTGTAATAAAAACCGTTGGGCTTCATTCTCCCAGCGCACCAATACTGTTTGTCTATTTTCTCGCTCTGCTAGGCCAGATAAAAACTCCTTCTGCCCACGCTCCCCACCACCTTCTTTCCACTCGTAACTTTCACTGCTTGTTTGGCTCCTCTCTTTCATTAAAGAAAGCCGTCTCACCCCGGCGCCCCTTTTCATTTGCAGTCCAAACAGTAAGATAAAAAAAAAAACCTGTAATGGCCACTGCGTATTTCCCGCATGTCAATTTCCCAACCAATCAATAGCAGGCGGGCAATGGCAGGAAGGATGGAGATGAGATGGGCGGGGTGCGCTGGAACTGTCTCATTACTAACTAGCACAGGATTCATGAAAGGATTAAGAAGGTCACTTAATGTCAACCCCAGCTTCGCTGTGCAATTTGCACATCAAGATTGAATTGGTTACGATTAGATGGTAACACGGGGCACGTTGTTGCCAAGTGAAACGGGGGGGGGGGGGGGGTTCAGGTAACACGCCAAATCTTACAGTAGGAGAGACCTTTCTTTACCAATTGTTTTTGTATTGTTTATTACATTCTGAGAGCAGTTTCATTTCTTTCATGCTTCATAAATTATGCAGAGATACGAAAAAGATCTATATCTAATCCAAATCAGTGAATTACATCTTTCCTAAGAGATGCACATGAAATAAACATGTTGCAAGAAAACCACAAAAGGCATCCGAGAGGCAGACTTCCTCATTACTGGTTGTAAAAGAAAACAGTGTGTGTGTTACGAAGAGTCCAACAATTTTAATAGGCTTTGGAGGTGTAAATGGATGGTAATAAGATCTGATGCCCTGGGTCTCCTGTTGGAATTAATGGGCATCTGCTGGAGCTCACAGTTCGACTTGGACCACGCACTGCTTTGTTTAAGAGTTGTTCATCGGAGGATGAAAACTTTGAGCTGTTCTGAAGAGAGGCCGTCTCGTAGTTACAGTATCTCCTATTAAGCTTTTTACGAACGGAAATCTGACATTATGCAAGAACAAATTGGCTCAACTTTTGGAACAACAATTTTTAAAAATAACGCTCCGCAGCACCACTGTTACAAATTGCTTCTCGGCAATTGATATTTTAGCGCACACACACACACACACACACACACACACACACACACACAGGTTAATTACCATTCTGTTTAAAGGGTGTAAGAAAGAAGTTAATTGTAATTCGTTTTAAGGAAAGTCTAATGCTTGCACTCAGCGATTCATCCCCGTCCTCAAAACTCCTCTCCCTTCTTTCGTCTTTCTCCCTGTTTCCATTTCTATCCATCTCAACCTGATATAACTTTCCCCCCCGCTTCCCATTCCTCACTTTATCCAATGCCCTCTCACTTCACTCACCCCTCACTCATCCTCAAACACACTTTTTAACATCTCTCCCTCACTCTTGCTTTCTCTGTCTCATTACTGTGGCAGAGAGAGAAGGGAGGGCAGTGTGTGCATCCAGAAGTCTGTTCAATTACACCTGCTGCAGGGTCCCTGCTAGGCCGACTAATGGAACACAGCATGTCTCCTGACAGGCTGGCCACAGCGCTAGCTAGCCCCAGTAAAAAGCTCCATTTAGCCGCTCACAGCTCGAAAAGTTAGCTCGACTAAGAAAACGCATCATTTAGCCTCCACCACTGCAGCAACTGCAAAACCCAGGAAAAGCTTCTGGGTTTCAAAATGTTATAACTGTGCTATATTTATAGATTTTGTTATTGTTAACATGTCTTCACAACTAGAGGGAAAAAACATCAATTGCCTTAAAAGGTCAGATAGAATCCTTCCTAATGTCTCTCACATGGAAAGAGTAGCCCGCCCACACTCAGACTTCTCTGTAGTAGGGAAACGTAGCCCTGAAAGAAAAAGCTATATTCAGAATTTCAAACCAGCACAGAAAGAAGTGCTGCCTGGATCCTTCAAGAGCTTAACTGTGCTGTTTTTCATCATCGTTCAATGAGCAATATTAATCTTTTGGCTGACATTGAATCTAACCACCCGGGCTGTTCTTCACAGAACTAATTCTACTTTTTTATTTTGCTTTAGTCCCGCTGCTTATCCAGCATATAGGAAATAATGCTTCACTTACCTAAAAGCTATTACAATACACAGGAAATCTTTATTAATTGCTTAATTGATGCGTTACCTGGCCTCAGGGGTCTTTTGGATCACAGATACTGAGGTGGGCTTACTCGGGCTGGACTTAGCAGGAGATGTGGCCGCGTCCTGTCTGGACCGCTCTAAGGCCTCTGTTGAGAGATGTTAGATAAGAGTGTTGTATCAGAAACAAGACCAGCAAGGCTGAGAGCAATGCAGGCAAGACATTGTTTTAAATTACCATGATGCTATACAGTTCCTCCATCTAAGTTTTGCATGCATATGAATGTACTAAAATAAAAAAATCAATTAAATCAAACTCTTGACAGGCACAAGTATGATGTTTTGAGCCAGGATGTTCCTCTGTGTTTAGTCCAGTCAGCATTTAATTATCTCTGATTGAAAATACAAGCTTACCAGCGCCAGTCTCCAGAGGAGCAGGTGCAGTTTGTGACCGTTTTCCACGCAAACTCTGTCCTGCAGGATGTACCTCTGCATCTTCACACACACTGTGGACCAAAGACAAAATATATTAAGCTGTCTTGTGTGTGTGTGTGTGTGTGTGTGTGTGTGTGTGTGGTTTACCTGGGGGGTAAATCTTGGTGGGACGCATTCGCCGCCTGTGGGTCTCCATTTCTAGTGCTTGAGCTGCCGAGATCAGACTGAGCCGCTTGTTGAAACCTAACAATAATACGAGATATCGTATCAGCTTGTGACGCTCAACATTAGCGAGCAATGTTACCAGACACGGTTCGCTTCTCTCTGGCTTCTGTGTACTACCTGCTGTAATCGAGACGCGACTGACGCAGCTCCTGATTCTGCCTGTTGAGCCTCTCCTCCTGCTCAGCCAGCCGCGCGTGCAGCCTCTCCCTCTCCGTCTCCAACTGCATCTTCTGCAGCAGCAGTTGGTGCCTTTTCTCCTCCCAGTCCTCGTGACCCAGCAGAGGCCTGGTCAGGGCTTCATTGGCCTCTGAGCCATTGGCACTCCTACCGTGGAGCCTGTGTGTAAATGCACATTTCATTAACTTCATATCCTTACATTCTTAATGTTCGTGTCTTCATGAAATGCTAAATTCGATTAAAAAACGACAGGAAACTAATGTAATCATGTGGTTTAATAGGGAAAAGGTTCATGACTGTATAGGGTACTACTGTACCTTTCGCACTCATGCCGGTTAAAGGTGTCATGGTGGCCATTCTCCATGCCTGAGCCGCCGCCTTGACCGCTGCCCAGGCAGGGCTTCCATCTGTGGTGGGACTCCCTGCACTCCCTTTTCTGAATGCTATGCTGTTTGATCGGCCCATCAGTTGGACTGAACTCACTATCACAGGAAAGAGAGGCATGATTGCTAAGGGTTTGTATTGCTCCTCTTCCTCCTCCTCCACCACCACTACTGTGCACTTGAGGCTGTTGTGCTCGAGTAGCAGCCAGGCTGAGGTATGAGCCATCAAAGAGTGAGCCATTAGCTCTGCTAGTAGATGTTCTGCTGGGGGCTTCCTCGCTGCCGAGCACCTGGACAGAGAACAAAGAGGACAATAAATGCATTTTGGCCAATTTACGAAGCCTCTGAAAAATTCATAGAGTATTTCAGCCAAAAACGTAAGATTGCTCCATAAAACCTTAATGTAGAGCTGGGCTACAAGCCAAAACTTACCAATACTGAATAAGGACTCACTAACCAACCTAATTAACTCGTGTTTACGTGCAGTAAAAGCTTTCCCTGTGTGCTTGTTCCACAGGAGCTCACATATCACCTTCACTTTATGCGGTGACCTGAAGCATTTTTTTGCCTTTACTTTCTTTCATTATACGCTCGTATGTAGCGATTGTGTACTGGGCTCTGAGTGCTGCCATAACACAGGTTGACGTACACAGCAGTACAGTCCCTGAACACATCCTGTGTAGACACTAGGATTCAAGCTGCTACTGCTCTAGTCTGCCAATGGTCTGCTTTCACTTTGTAGCTTCATGGACATGGTAGTAGGTTTGCGTTGGCTTTACAGCAGCATAAATGCAAATCATCCTTCAAAACCTGTAAACTGGACAGTGGCCACAAGATTAAGAGAACAATTTCTAACTGAGCACAACTGGCAGGTAAGCCAAGGTCAGGAACATTAGGAGATAAACATAAGGAGGAAAGTCCATCTTGTCGTTGACTGGAGAAGAGACTGTGACTAATTTGCCGAGGGTCAGAGAGCAGGCAAACACACATTATTCAGAGCCACCGCGGGACAATGAGGTTGGCCAAGTCATCTATTCTTACAGTGG